AAGCAGGCTCTGTCAATCATAGCCAGGGTAGGTGTGGCTAGGGCTGCATAAACAGAAACAAAGTGATCTACCTCCTAAATGACATTGAATTGAGCAGTGAAATTGCAGGGGAATGATCTATACACTAAAACTGCTTTATTTAGCTAAAGTAATTTAGGTGACTATAGTGTTCCTTTAACCCCTTAAGGACCAAACGTCTGGAATAAAAGGGAGTCATGACATGTCACACATGTCATGTGTCCTTAAGGGGTTAAAGAATCATATAACTAATAGAATGTATTGAGTTCCATTTATGTTTACTCCCTGTGAAGAGTTAAATATTAATATAGGGGGCTGACCGCAAGGTATTCAGAGATCACAAATGGAATATGTAGACCACAAAATGCATATTGCCACCACTCCGATACAGGTGGCAATTAAGTTGAACTTATTGATAATAAGCTGTCTTCTTAAAAGGTAACTAAAATCACCCAAACCACTTCATCTCAATGAATTGTTATGGGTGCAATGGTTTTCTCATGTTTACATAAAAAGGGTTGATAGAAGTCTTCCTGACAGCCACTATATGTTCTTCCTCCTCTAGAACTAAGTGAAATTACTGCCTCTTGAGTTATCTATTGAGCTAACCAAACCAGGAAGTACAACAACTGGTTGTCTGCTTGAAAGCCACATGTAGTAACCAAGTCGATTTATAAACGTGTCAATGTATACTGAAATCTGCACATTTTGCAAAATGAAAATATTAGGAGCCACTCTTTACACTTAAAGCTTTTCAACAAGCTATATTGCTTTACGGGTATATAGTGCCTTTTGATTAACTTTATTATAGAGGAGACACTCAAAAAGGGTAGAAAATAACTGGGCTCACATAAGAGTCTCTATATATCACTCTGAAAACCTGTTATAATGTATCAATCTAGTTGACATTGATAGTTCCCACTAATGCTACTGACAACCTAACCCAGTGGTCAGTGAAAAATACTCCAGCACTCCTTTGACTTTATGAGTTCTTATGCAGAGGAATGAGACTTAACAGAGAGGTTTATGAACTCAAACTTCTTATATTGTTCCACCATCAGTAGTTGATAAGTATTGAGGACCAAAGGTAGTATAACAGCAACTCCATCAGCAAAAGGATAGATGGAAAAAGGGTCTATGATTTGATGAGACAGAAATTACAAAGAGCAAAATACTATTGAGTTATTCACTAGGGATTTGAAAGACCCAGTCTAATGTATCATATTGGTAAATTAATGCCTGCACTTATCTTCAAAGTGTTATTAACTAAAGTGTATAATGTCAGGAGTTAAATAATTTAACTCAAACGGAAAAAAACCTGCCTTGAAGAATTTTTCCAATTCTACTATTTTGGCCTAAAAATTTAAATTTACTCGAGCTTCACTTTAAAATTCCAACAATTAACACCTCCAAAACTTTACATATTTTTTGTTGCTGTTGTTGTTTTTTTAACTGTATAAGTAATACTCATCAACTACACATAATATAACATAATATTCAACAACTACACATAATAATCAATGCTAGTATTGCTAATAAAATTCTGTTGATACATTTTCTCTAGATGATAACATTACAGGGATCTCTCCATACGTCCATACTTCATCAGTTTGTCTCTGTCTGTCAAACTGAATATGTAATCCTCTTACATGTACAGTATCCAGCTCTACATAAATTATACTATTTACATGTACAGTGTCTTTCCTTTTCCTATCACAATCAATTTTCCCAAGTTCCGATTTCTGTGCTACTTGTTGAAACGGATCTGTTCTTCAGTCTAGGAAGGGGGTGATTGTGTTTAGGGCCTCTGATTTGCTAACATGCGGAGAGATGTCTCGTATTTTAACTATTACCTAGAACTGTCTGTCAGTATTTCTAAGGGCTGTTCAGGTCTCCCAGACACCACAGGGAGGAGTAGGATGAGGAGGAGGTGTTGAGGGGGTTGGATTGTTGGCCTGGCTCTGTACTTGGATGCGGGCCCTGCGTTCTGCTCTGTATTTCTCTGGTTTACTAATATCACGTAAGTGCAGCATTATGAAAGGCAAGTTACGGAAACCCTCTCTCTCAGACGCGCTGCCCGTAACACATTCCTTCCACATTATTGGCTGCTTCCTGTTTACTCATCTCTCTGTCTCCCTAATTTTGTCTTCAGCTTTCCATTTCCTAAAGAGACAGTGCACTGAAAATGTTAACTTTCCATTTCCTAACTTGCACTAAAACTTTCTCAGCTTATCACTGGAAACAGATGCATCCAACCTCGGCCCTGCTTTTTGGATTCTAAAATATTTATTGACAAAAAATCTGATATATGTATATATATATGAAACCAAGAGGGCTGCACTCACCTGAACATGCATACATTATAGGGTGCTGATGGGGCCAATATATACAACATACAAAATACACAACCCAGCGCACTCGCTTATTTACTAAACAATGATTTCAAACCTCACAGATTGTAATAGTTTTATTTAAAAACACCTCACCTAGGCAAAAAATAATGGGGGTTAATTTCATTATATGATCATATATTGACGTTGTGGCAGGCTCATGCAATATATGATCATATAATGTAACTAAAGCCCCATTATTTTTTGCGTAGGTGAGGTGTTTTTAAATAAAGCTATTACAATCTGTGAGGTTTGCAATCAATGTTTAGTGAATAAGCGAGTGCGCTGGATTCTGTATTTTGTATGCTAACACTACATTAACCCCTACAGTGCCCTGATATTAATTAGTAAACCATACACAACCATAATACTAACCCTTACCTAAAAAAATGGAATTTAAAAGGAAAGAAAAATACAACAATATCAGGATTCACAAGTCATTTCACGGTGCCTAGAGGGATATTGGCTATACCTCACTGATGAGGTCTGGGGTTGCCGTATCTCTCGTGCAGAGGGAACTTGCTGGCATTTTGGATCTAGACTGCCCGTATGGGTGGGACCAGTCTCATGCTTCAGATATGTTCTCTCTGTAATGGCACAAGATGAGCTAAATCCACCTTGAGATCTGAGCGGGGACCCACCGAAGGGCAGGCTAATTGAGCTGTTGTCCATTCTCACCTCTTGCTACTTGTTTTTCTCTCCTCGAGACATTTATAAACCATATATGTGCTGTTTGTTTGTTTTTTTGTTTTATAAGAACTTGATGTAGAGTCAAACAAGGGATACTGTTCTTGTCACATCAATGAACTATTGTTCTCTTAATTACTGTAATTGTGGTGAAAATATTAAGATTTGCCACTAAATTTACCAGATGTAATAACAAGAGCTGTAGTGAACTGAAAACCAAATTGCAAAAGACCATTAATTTGGAAAAATTATCCAACTGGGCCAAAGACAAAACCACTATTTTAGCCTACATTTAGACATTTAGGTTTTCAATTCACAGTTCAATATTTAGTGAATAAAAATAAAATAAAATGTAAATGTAAATTGTGGCATATCGACTATGAACTTCGAATATTCTCTGAACATTTTGTACTTGATGAGTTTTTTTATTTTGTGTGTGCTCTGTGGATGTATATATATGAGATATTTGTACAATAATTTATTTTTGGAGACAGTTCATGTATAGTTTATGTATCATGATCGTGAGGAGCATTGACTAGATTTGCATGAATTTTTGTTTATATAAATTATGGCTGTTTTGACCAATACATTATTGATGGTCTCTAATGTGAATCTTCTGATCTTCTATATAATAATTATGTCTTTATAAATATTAACTAGATTGCCCTTATATATTGGTTTATTTCATATATAATAATTAGATTTATTTTCCTCTCTCTTTTGTTTTTCTATTATATTTTTTCTTTTTATTCTGCAATTTGAGGATTGTTTGACACCGTGTATTGAATTTATTTTCATTATCTATGCTATTATAGCCTCTGACCAGTAGGGTACGCCCTATTGTTTTTCCTATGGGCTAGTGTATAGTTAGAGAGCATGATGCGTTCCAAGCCATGTCTTGCGCATGTGCGCAATGCATACCGCGCCATTACGCCAGTTCAATGTATTAGAACGCATGGTGCGTTCCACACCTCATTGTTTCACCTTTAGCGAGCAGTCGTTTGAACGATCGGGATAGGTGAGTATAACTCACACTTTTCCGTTATCGGGATCCAGAATATGGATCTGATTCAATGATCCAAGTACTACTGTTGATGTCTCAGCATGAGTCTGGGGATATAGGGAGTAGACCAGGTCTATCACAGAAAGCACCTTCAATGAGGACTAGAGCGTCAGAACTGGACAACGGAGAAAGTGTTATGCTCTGAGAAATGTTCTCCTGGGAAACCTTGGGTCCTGGCATTCATGTAGATGTTTCTTTGACTCATACTACCTATTATATATATGCTATATATAGATTGTTGCAGACCAAGTTACACCCCTTCATGGCAATGATGTTTCCTTATTGCAGTGGCCTCTTTCAGCAGTATAATGCATCCTGCTACACTGCAACAATTGTTCAAGATTGGTTTGAGGAACATGACAAGTAGTAGCCTCCAAATTTCCCAAAACTCAATCTAATTGAACAATTTAAGGGATATGGCAATTTGCCACACTCGTCGCTTCCAGACCAAAGTTTTTTTTTACAAATAGAGTGCTGCTCCATAAGGGAACCACACGCACACTAAATTAGTAGGGGAGTGCCTCCTCCTTCATATTCTTTGTAGCAGATCCGGATGTTATGGACATCAAGAGCCCCCATGGAAGAGGGAAGAGAGACATGGATGGAAGGGGGGAAGACAGACATGGAAGGATGGGGGGGGAGCGAGACATGGAAGGGGAAAGAGAGACGTGGCTGGAAGGGAAAAGAGACACAGATGGAAGGGAAATGGATGGAAGAGGAAGAGACATGGAAGAGGGAAAGAGACATGGATGGAAGGGGGAGAGACATGGAAGAGGGAAAGAGACATGGATGGAAGGGGAGAGAGACATGGCTGGAAGGGAAATGAGACAAAGATGGAAGGGAAGAGAGACATGGGTGGAAGGATGCAAAGACATGGAAGGGGGAAGAGAGACATTTATGGAAGGGGAGAGAGACATGGATGGAATAGGGGAAGAGATATGGAAGGGGAAAGAGTGACATGGATGGAAGTAGGAAAGAGACAAAGATGGAAGGAGAAAAGAGAGACATGAAAAGGGGAACAGAGACATGAATGGAAGGGGGAAAGAGATATGGATCGAAGGGTAGAAAATTTATACTTTCTTGTGGTCACCTCCAAATGGGCATCTAAAGCGAAGGTGCGGGGCAGGGTGCCCAACCCAAATGGACTCCATACATACATGTTTGCTGAGATTTGTGATTTTAAGTAATTGAGAACTGTATTTTTATGTGCTGTTTCCTAATCTCTATTTTGTATAACCTTTGGTCTCTATGGCAGCATTACTGCTGAGAAATGCATGTTCCAGGTGTTCCCTGAATTCCCTTTTTTTCTAAATACGAAATGTGAAATTAAAGTGATTTGTTTAACATATGCATTAGATCAAGACTTTCTAATTGCAGTTATCCAGTATTGGGTCAACAAAGAGTTACATAGCTGAACACTAAGGATTGTATGCTTCCATGGGCCTTGTGGTTAATAAATTAGATCATTTAAAACAATCGTCATATTTTGGGAATTTTCAGACTATACTACTGAGTTTCTGGGTTCTAATTCCAAACTAAGGTGAATGAAGATAACATTGTCTGTACACTTTCATGCCTAAGCATGCAATTTTTTTCTTACAGGTAGGTCATAGTACACTGCTTGAGTGCTGGTAGTTCATGGAGAAATATTATTGTGAAGTTTGCGGTAGTGGTTATGGTAACATGAGTGCCCTGACACCAAACCATCAAAGCAAACATTTTGACTTCTTACCTGGGGTCCCTGTTTCCACTACTATTGCTAGAGAGCAGGAAGTTCCTAAGCAGGAATTTCCATTAGTTCTTCTGAGCTGACACTCTCAGCCAATGATACAAGCCCGGCACTGCAGGGATTAGCTCAGGAGAGCTAGTGGAGGTTTTCCAGCGTTCCAGCATAATATTGAAAGCAGAGGCAGGAGCTCAGTGGACCCCTGGTAAGAAGTCAAACCAGTCATAAACACTACTTGACTGCTTACTTATTATTATTATTATTAATATTATTATTATTATGTTATTATTTATATAGCGCCAACCAATTCCGCAGCACTTTACAATGGGTGGATGAACAGACATGTAGTTGTAACCAGACAAGTTGGACACACAGGAACAGAGGAGTTGAGGGCCCTGCTCAATGAGCTTACATGCTAGAGGGAGTGGGGTAAAGTGACACAAAAGGTAAAGATAGTATTATCCTAAGGACAGTTGCAAGAGAGGAATCAGTTGGGAGCTATTAACAGTTTAATTGATACGCTTTTATGAAGAAGTGGGTTTTTAAGGAGTGGAGACTGGGTAAGCATTTAACAGAGGAGGGAAGAGCGTTCCACAAGAATGGTGCAGCCCTCGAGAAATCTTGAAGGCGAGCATCAGAGGTGGGAGTATGGACAGAAGATAGACGTAAGTCTTCAGCAGAGCGTAAGGGCCTAGACGGGACATACTTGTGTATTAGGGAGGATAGATGGTTGGGAGCAGCATTATGTAGAGATTTGAAAGCAAAAACCAGAATTTTAAATTGAGCCCTATATCTTACAGGAAGCCAATGTAGGGACTGACAGAAGGGTGAGGCATGGGAGGTGCTGGCGGACAGGAAGATTGAGCCTCGCCACCGCATTCATTATGCACTGAAACAGCGCAAGTTGGGAGCACGTAAGACCAATGAGAAGCGCATTACAGTAGTCAAGGCGAGAAAGGACCGTGGAATGGACCAGCACCTTTGTCGCATCTGGCGTTAAGTAGAGTCGGATACGCGCAATGTTTTTGAGATGGAAACTACAGGATTTGGCGATAGACTGAACATGAGGTGTGAAGGAGAGGTCAGAGTCAAATAGAACACCTATGCAACGAACCTGCGTGGTGGAGCTGATGGCAGCACCATTGACTTGGAGGGAGACAGACACAGGAGTAGCAACACTTGAGGACCAGAATTTAAGTTTTGGTCAAGTTGAGTTTAAGGAAGTGGGCAGCCATCCAGTTAGAAATAGCAGAGAGGCAATCAGAGACACTAGTCAAGAGGGACGGGGAGAGATCAGGAGAGGACAGGTAGATTTGCGTGTCATTTGCATACAAATGATATTGGATGCCAAAGGAGCTAATGAGTTTACCAAGGGAGGCAGTATTGATAGAGAACAGTAGGAGACCAAGGACTGAACCTTGGGGGACACCAACAGAGAGGAGTTGGGGAGAAGAAGCAGAGCCAGAGAAAGAAACCCACAAAGAGCTCTGGGAGAAGTAGGAGGAGCACCAGGAGAGAGCAATATCTTGTAGACCGATATTGCGGAGGATGAGAAGAAGCTGTTGATGAGCAACAGTGTCAAAAGCCGCAGACAGGTCAAGAAGAATTAGGATATAGTAGTGACCACGAGATTTAGCAGCGAGTAGATCATTGGATACTTTGGTCAGTGCTGTTTCCACAGAGTGCTTAGCACGGAAACCAGACTGAAGCGGGACTAGCTGTCGCTTCTCTCTGGAGGTCTCTGTCCTAGTACGCATACACAACTCTTTCAAGGATCTTGGATGCAAAAGGCTGCAGAGAGAAAGGACAGTAGTTGGATGGGGAGTTAGGGACAAGGTTGGGCTTCTTTAAAATTAGGGTTAAAGTTGCATGTTTGAAGGGCGATGGAAATATGCCAGGGTGCGAATGAAAATAGAACAGGAAAGGGAGTGAGG